CGCACAAAGTTACATTGATTGTTGCTTGTATTTGTATTTCAAATACAACATATTTATCTACAATGGTGATAATTGAAAACCTGGTTTCACGACATTGCCATGTTTCTTGTATTGGCATTGCCATGTTTCTTGTATTTAGTTCCGCCCATTGTTTTCTCGTTAAGGGCACACGCATTTGTTTTACTTGGGGACCATATGTCGCTGTTCATCGAATGGCACTTGCGTGTCACATTGAAGGTTCCATGATGACCGCCATATGAACACATCTGCAGATGTTTCAAAATTCAAATCTGTACCAGTTCATGTTAAATGTTGAATTCTGCTTAAGCCGGTGCTAGGGGGCGTGGACGGTAGTTTGCAATTGACAGTACCGTCCATGAACAGGCTCAATCAAACCGAGCCTGCAACATTTTCAATTTTGACGTGTTGGGCTTTCTTTAGGGATTCTTATTTTCTCTATTTCACTTACTTGACATATCTCTATCATTCCTATTTTTACATGTAAGACTGTAGAACAGATATTTATTTACAAGAGAACTCAATTTTTTACAGGGTCATACCAGGAAACAGGCTACGGTTCAAACTCCGAATTTGTTTCTTCACATGAAAACAATCGTCAAAGATGTAACACAGAGGCACAAAGTAGCATCATGCACACAAGTTACCGTCTGAATGCCATGGAAACAATGAACTATCCAAAACATCTAGATTATGTCAATGTCCCATGGTGGAATAATGAATGTAAGAAAGTGGTACAGGATAGAAAAATAGCTTTAAATAATCTAAAAAGAAATATAAGTCCTGAAAATTTCAATAATCTCAAACAAACTGAACTAAAATGTAAAGAAACAATATTGGAAGCTAAAAAACAGAACTGGACAGAATTTTGTGAGACTGTCTCAGTTACAAAATGTAGTGCAAGAATATTTTGGCAAAAAATTAATAGAATTAAAGGTGAAGCTTCCAATCCTGTACCACTATTAAAATTAAATAATGATATAGCAAAAACACCTCTAGAAAAGGCTCAATTCCTTGTTAAGCACTACAAACAGGTCTCCAGTGATTCAAACATGTTACCGGAAACTCTTCAATATCAGGCAGAGTTTGAGTCACAAAACAAGGAATCGGTCTATGAGCCGGGGAAAGATAACTCGCCTCTTAATTTACAATTCAGTCTTTCGGAACTTAAATCTTGCTTAAATGCGAGGCGAGATTCTGCCGCGGGCAAGGATGTGCTTTCTTACCAGATGTTCAAGCACCTACCAGACAGTGTGTTTGAAATATGGTTAAGGCTATACAATAGGGTGTGGTCTGAGGGAATATACCCCAATGCTTGGAGGGAGGCCACTGTCATTCCTATATACAAAAATGGCAAAAATAAAAATGAACCAAAATCTTACAGACCAATAAGCCTTACATCTCACTCAGGGAAATTGCTTGAGGGAATGGTCAAGGCACGTTTAGAACATTTACTAGAATCAAATAATATAATTAACCCCTTTCAATCTGGCTTCCGAAAGGGCAGGAGCACTTTGGATCAGCTGGCTCGACTGCAGCATGACGTGACCTATGCAAAAAACAGATCACGTTCAGTGCTAGCAATTTTTCTGGATCTTACTGCAGCTTTGACCTAACATGGCATTTCGGAGTATTATTTAAATTAAAAGAATATGGAGTGACAGGATCTTGCTTCCAGTATATCAGGTCCTTCCTTGAGGGCAGAAAGATATCGGTCCGGGTAGAAGGGTTTATGTCTGACCTTGAGCCTGTGGAGCGGGGCACTCCGCAAGGCTCGATCCTCTCACCGTTGCTTTTTTCTATAATAATCAATGGTCTACCAGAGGCTCTCTCTGGCTCTGGTATGGTTATTAGCCAATTTGCTGATGATTCAAGCTGTTGGAAGACAGGGTCCAATTTGGTAAAACTAGCCCAATGTGCACAGGCTGGCATGGACTCTCTATGGGGATGGGCAAAAAAATAGGGATTTCAAATTTCTGAGACAAAAACAGTAGCAATTTTATTTGGAAATCAAAAAGAGCACACTTTGAACGTATCTTTAGGCAGTACACCAATTCAATTTGTTAAAGTTGCCCGATTTTTAGGCATACTTTTGGACAAAAAATTAACTTTCGGGCAACATATTCAAGATCTGGTCAACAGGTGTCAAAAGGATTTAAATGTCATGAGAATGTTAAAAGGCACAGATTTCGGCACTGACAAAAATAGCCTTTTACTACTATATAAATCCTTAATACGTTCAAAAATAGATTATGGAGCACAAATCTATTCTAGTGCATGCCCCAGCTTCCTTAATAAATTAGACCGTATCCAAAATGCTGCTCTCAGGTTGGCCCTGGGGGCCCTAGGATCCACCCCAGCCCGAGACCTGGAACTTGAGGCCGGTATACCACCACTACATTTAAGAAGACAGGAACAGACCCTAAAATACTATGCACGGATTAAAAGTAATAAGACTAATAATCCCGTGCATGGTGTTTTAGGGGAAGGTTATTTTTGTAAATCCAAGTTTAAGGACCCTGCCCTTCCCTTTGGGGTCAGTACTGACCTTCTGGCGGAGGGGTGCGGCCTTAAAGGTATTGACATTGCTGAACGGCGGCCTGCTGCGGTTCCGCCCTGGACCCTTTCGCCACCCATAGTTGATACACATCTAACATCTATAGTGAACAAAACTGATCTTCCGCACCTCGCAAGATCAGAAGTACAGTTATACTATGAAAAATACTCAGGTCAAACACACATATACACAGATGGATCTAAAGACCCGGACTCTGGCAAAGTAGCTTCAGCCGTAGTAATCCCTTCCCAGCAATATGAAAAAATTGACAGGTTAACAAATAAAACATCCTTCTATACGGCTGAGCTACTTGCAATTAGGAATGCTTTGTGCTGGATAAATGACAACAATCACAATAAAGTTGTCATTTTCTCTGATTCTCTATCATCATTGGTCTCACTGAAATCAAATAATAGTCAGTCAAGACCAGAACTTTTACAAGAAATCTATATATTATACAATAAATGCCTAAATGTAGGTAAATTGGTAACCATTGCTTGGTGTCCAGCACATATAGGTATCTATGGTAACGAACAGGCGGACATGGCGGCCAAAGCAGGCCTAAAATTCAGCAGTGTAACAGAACCTATACCACTCTCCCCCACTGAAATATATTCCATAATACGCCAACATATTTTATCTAAGTGGCAAAAAGAAATAAATGATAATCTTCCTAAAATCAAACATGTAAATACTACAGTCAGCCTTAAACGACCAATAAAATATTCAAATAATTCCAAAATTGATAAAATCATTAGCCGGCTAAGGCTGGGCTCAAGCTTATTACCTGGTAGTGTGGGTCAATACATTAAGAAAATTGACCCGACCAGCCCACAATGTGGAGTGAGATATGGTTCTGACCACCTACTGATCGAATGTCCCCAATTTGCAGCCCAGCGGCAAGAATTGGTGGGTCGCATTGGATCAGTGGGGCTTGGATTTACTGCAAAAAATATTTTAAATCCCCCGAAACAACATCATAACCATGTATATGGGGCTCTTGAGATATTTATCCTTGAGTGTAAATTAACAGATAAAATTTAATAAATCAACTTGAAATGTGCCCGTGTCCCCCTCAGGTAACACAATTATTCAATCAAAATATATATAACCATAATCAAATATCTTAGATATATTACCAAATTATATATAACCATAATTATATGGTAATATAACTTCACAATAACAGGTTAATAGGGACCCAGTTTGCATACTTTAGTCCCTTGACACCGGTTTAGTAACAGATTTAAATATACCTACAATAAAATGAAATAGAGTAGATAACCCATCCCAAATCATCTTTAATTATTAAAAGATACATCCACAAAACTTACAGAAAAATTCCTAAACAAATTGACTAATAAATGAAAATATAACAGCATTCTACCTGTAATAGGTTATTAATACAAATTTAACACCAAAGTACTAAAATAAAGAAAATTTTACATGTATCTTAACTTTCTATGATCTGAAATCTAATATACTAATCAAAATTAAACCACAGTATTTATTAATAGACATATCTTATTGAATAAAATAAGAAAACCCAAAAAGAATTTATTAAAAACTTATAAAGATATAGTAATTTTCCTATGATGGGTAACTTTTCCAAAATCAAACCCAAATATTCCAAAATTTGATAATTTTACACAAATATAACTCCCCAAGAATTAAGAAAGAGTAAGATAACTATCATAAACTCTATTTTATAATTAAGAGTGAGCCAGCACCTCCCAATTTTGAAAATAGCCATGACACTGTATGGTAAAAATAGTCTAGTGCACAGCCTATTTAAGAAATTATTCATTTAAAAATAATATGACAATAAAATTACAAAATAAATAAGTAAATAAATAAACATCTTATTAGCACCGTTTCACGGCCACTTATTAGGGCCACTTTTAAAATAAACACTTGAAATAGGTTTTGTACACTTTATACAATGGCTGTGCACTGACTCAAAAATTTTGTTAAGTTGTTGTCATTACTCTAATGACATCTTTCCTAGTCAGAAGTCTCTTTATTTTCTCACAGGAGATCCATTGAAGGAACATTTACGATGGTTTCCACATTGTAAATTCATTACAAGTGTAAAAGAACAGGTAGGCAATACTTTTGGGAGCGAAAGGCTTTATTTTTTAAATTATGATAGCATACCTTATATCTAACTATTTATTCGCATTTATGATGGAATTATTTTGCATTTTTAAAGTATTTGAAGTGTTTTTAAAACTCTTTGATTGAAAATTATCATGCTGTTTTTTGCTTGATTTGTTTTTGTTATTTTTTCCAAATTTAGTTCTGTTTGAGAATCAAAATCATACGTTATTTTATGTATGTTCTCATGCTTAAAAGTGCAATAATTCAAGAAGTGTTTAAAATTGTACAGCCTACAGGTATTATTTAATAGATAAGACATGAGAACAGACTCAAAGAAAGACAGGAGTAGGAGTGATGGGTTAGTACAGATAATAACTATTCTGCCATTCTGAATACTAAAATATATGATGAAAAACACCGTTCAGAGAACACATTTTTAACTTGACTTCATTCCCGCTCAAAAAACTTGCACATAGGAACTGTTGGGTTCCGCACAGGAAACTACCATCGGGGAAATTGTTTCTGCAGCATTGAACTGTTTATTGCAAATGTCTACAACACATATTGATAGTAAATATTAAGATCAAAACATAAAATACAATTGTTATATATATGTGAAAGGTAGTATTTGCATATAATTTAGACTATTTGAAATCAAGATTGTATCAGTGATCTTCTGATAGGGAAGTGTCTGTTAGATTGGTATATCATGTAATTAATTTTAATTTGATTCGGAAATATTCATATATTTGGTATCACTATATATCAGCAGCGAAACCAAGTAAAATTATGTAAGTCAGGGCATATGATTAATAAGAAATTTGGTGCTTGTATTTTAACAGATCCTATGACCAGAAGAATCATACAAGCTATGGAGGATATGGGGTTTAAATCTGATGTCGCGAAGCTTGCAGTTATGGCAGTAAAAAATCAAACTTCTGGTATGCACAATCTATGAATTCTGTTGCACTATTTGAATGTGCATTTGGTATATGTTGTATTTAAAGTCTATGATAATATTGGATGGTATACCGTATTGCAGTTCAAGACTATTATATTATTTGCGTTTCAATTTGCAATTTGACATTATAAATATTTCATATTTATATATAATTTCTTTGTATTTCATTGTATTGTAGGGCAGTATGATGTGATGCTCAGTGAAGCAGTAACATGGGCTTTAGATCAACAAAGAAATAACAGAGGTTAGTGTTGACACTGTGTATAAAGAAACGCAGGGGTGTTTTTTTTAATAACGAATATATTAAATTATTGTACATGGATCCCTTACGGCATGTTTACGAGGTAACGCGATTTTCGTGTATGGTGCACGGAAGCAACGCTGGTTAACTCATGAAAAAGTATCTGAATCACGTTTTATCTGCTTCCTTTTACTATAACATGTATACGATTTTATTTGCTCATACAGGATGTATCTTAATTCGATTGTGTAGGATAGAATATAACTTATAGACACACTTCTCTGGTCTGTTTTTGTAACCAATCTGTACTTGGGTGCAGCAATGGGTGTTAGTTTCTTGCTTAAAGAAAAATATGACTCGCTCCTGACAGGGTTTTAACCAACGATTCTAGATTACTAGTCCGACGCGTCATACCGCCACTATACTTTTTGTTTTGAAAATTTTATAAGGAATGCGGGATATCAAAACTAAAACGTTTAATTGCCTTTTTGTACCTATCAAAATATCGACAAAACACAAAAGTCGCCTTCAAAACGGAGTAAGGTCGTCATTCTCATGAGAAAACACATCTAATGCTGGTTAAAGTATAAAGATCATTACAGCCGTATGCGCTTATCCTGTTTTCAATTTGATTTGTTACTAATGTGTGTGAAGTTAGTATTATAATATTTTGGTCCGTTTAATTAACTTGTTAATCGTTTCGGACATAGTTTTGCACAGACTCGATGTTGCTTTTGCATGATTCCTGCGTATTCTCAGATTCTTTAGTTATTTGGTTAAATTGTTTTCGGACATCCCTTTATTTTTGTCTTTAATAGGTATTTGTAGTAATACTATATTGTATATATGAATAAGATTGTTAATTCCAAATCTAATATGTACATCTGACCAACAATTTTGAACACAAGCTATCTTCCAAACTTCAGACGACCAGGCTCAGCCGCAGGCATGTGCCCCATTAGAATCTTCAGACGCTGTTGCGGGAGCTACCGGGTCTTCAACATCTACCAACTGTCAAGGTATAATTCACATCTCAAGAGTCAAATTAAATTTTATAATATTTTCAACTTAATTACGTTTAGAATATATTTTAGAAGAAAAACATACTGGTACATGTATCATATTTTAGCATACAAATATTATACCAGTATGTTTTTGTTTGTTTTATTTTTATATGTATGCTCGTATATACATTTTTTGCAGATGTTACGTGTTTAAAGCCAGAAACCCAGCAGCTTAGAGAGTTGCCCAGATGTAAAATATGTTTGGATAGACAGATGGAAGTTACCTTCTTACCATGCGGTCATCTAGTTTGCTGTTTTGTATGTGCAGCTAACATACGCAACTGTCCTTTCTGTAGGAAAAAGATAAGTGGCACTATCAAAACAGGTATACCACATTGATAACAAACGAGAGAAAACTCAGCAAACCCTGTGGTGGAGAAATTGATAGTGAGACTCCTTTGTAGGGGAGCGTGAACAATGTTGCAGCTTAAATTATCTCTTTTAAACAGACTCAATCAAACCGAGTCTACAATTTGCACCTTCTAGCAGTTGTTCCATTGTTCACAAGGGGTCTCAGTTGTCAAGATTTTAAATTCACGAATTGAGATATTTAAAAATTGAAGGTTTGTGCACGATGGCGAATTACATTGCATTCTGAAGCTCTATGAACACCAAGTCTTGGAAAGGGTCCTATCAACAAAGGCAGCAAAATGCTTAGTTTAAGCGAGGGAAAATGGCAGCTTGGATTTACTTAAATTTTGTTTTATACATCGATTTATGCAGGGAAGTATACATAGACATGTACTACATTATCGCAAACAGCAAATGCGTATGAAACACAAAAATGCAATTAATATAGAATTATCATAATTAAGAAGCGTGTTCTGTGCTACCCTATGATTGCCCAATAAGCTTAAAGCTTTCTTCAATGTAAAGGAAAATCAATAATATATACTTACACATGTTAATATTGACTGTAGTCATTTGCATAATATGCATGATATTCATATGTAACTTTTCTTTGCAAACTTAACTCTTTTAGACTATAGCTATTTCGGTAAAGAACTACTGTAACAAATCAATAAGATCTGAAATAAATTGCTTTTTGAAAAATGTGTTCCGGTATTATCATGAAACAAATTTCTCTGCGTTCGTCAACAATAAAGAATATGTTTGTATGAATTAACGAAACTTTCAAGTTGATGTTTGATATCAGTTGTTAACTTGATTTGTTTTGTCAGTTGCACCAGGCTTTGTGTAACGTACAAAGAAGGAAGTTAAATCAAAAAATCATACATATACGGTTCTGAAACGAATAACACCCAAGAAAGAAGTTATTATTCATTCAAGCCTTGAGACCCTTGGCCGTTTTCATTGAATAGCATTTCGGACTTTAAGACACAAATTAACAACTTTCATGTCTATGTTATCCCTTTTTTTGAACCATTCTATTTCTGTCACTTAAAAGTTTGGCATAAAAATGGGAGAAATCGCATAAGTGTACAGCTCCCAAAGACTATTTCTCTTAAATTAATATACTTTCAGTTTTAACAGTTCTAAGGTTATCTGCCTTGAATGTTGTAACACAAGGCGATCTACATGTACCGGGGTCAGATACTAATGGAAAAAAAGGATGCACCGAGACGTATCTTTTAACACTAACGCCACTGCTAGCGAAAAGACTTAATTTATTCCTTTTTCATATTTCATTTCATTTCTCTCTTTAGATTCCTTAATGCCTTTCAAATTTAACTACATTTCGTTTTATTTTTGTTATCTTTTCTATCCATATCTATTTACCAATTTTTTATTTGTCTTACTGAAATTAGGCACGAATACAAGGGTTTTTGCTTATGTCCTATGTTCTTCTTCAACTTTGTGTACTGTGGGTTTGGTGAAGGAGTGACATGAAGTGTTTTGTTAAGGGCAGCGCTTCATGAAAGTCTCCAGGTAAACACAATTTTCGTCAGTTTAGGGCCATGTTTAATATAAGAGTATGTAGTGTAAAGTGTACTTTTGTTCGTTATTTGATTTATTTCAAAATAGTTTTGTCAGGTATTCGATGAATGATCTTATTTCGAGAAATAAACTATTATCGTGTTTGAGGAATATCTATTGGAAAATTTTAATATCCATCAACATTTTTAGTTAAATTCGATAAAACAAAAATACAAACAAACAAACAAGACTGGGTGGGCAAAACAAAAACGTTGCTACTTTACAGGCCTGCGTATCATAGATAATAATGGTAAATATTTCTGATGTCTTAAAACCAATTAATATCCGGTAATACGATATAAGTGTACTGTTACATATGTAGTTGTAACATAGCAAGTATAAACGTTAGAAAGAGTTGTATAATGTATTTACATTTTGATATAGCAGTTAAATTCATTGCAATATGACAGTTTTCTTGTGAATCAACGTAGCAGTTGGAATTAAGACGGACTATTTGTTTGTAATTCATTGATAACTTACGTCATGAAGTTCGTGATGTCATCTTACATAGGTCAGATCTTCAGTCATTAATCCGTTATCCAGACTGGAAGTCTATAGGATAGGCCAGAAAGAGAAACCCGTATGTTTGAAGAAGGGGGTCTATTTTGCCTTCGTCTCACTCACCAGTTCTCATATCCTCTGGGACCTTTCCGTTATTTGCTCGGGATAACCAATACTGCCAAACATCCTTAGTTACATGAACGCTATAAGTAGTATAGGATGCGGACTTAGGCAGAATGCCTGGATCAACTGGATCTGGATCCACTGGAGCTGCCTGGATCCACAGGATCTGCCCCCAGGCCCTATTGCAATGACGTCATCGCGTGAGTTACTAATGAGGGGTCATTAAAAGAATGAGTCATCGCGTGAGTCAACTGTTACTCACAAATGAGGGGTCATTAAAAGAATGAGTCATCGCGTGAGTCAACTGTTACTCACTAATGAGGGGTCATTAAAAGAATGCGTCATCGCGTGAGTCTATATTAATTTTTAAATTATAAGTCTATTTATCAATTAGTTCCGAAACGCAGTAACGTTCCTATATTAATCCAATAACTACATCCAGGAAACATTCGCTGCACAGTTATCGATTTTAGCATAATATGACTTTTAATTTAAGGTCGCGCTATAGCGACTTTTAAACTTAGAAACATTATCGCTTAAAGAACGCCAAGTTGTAAGCGTTGGAAGGAATTTTATGACCAATAAGTACACAACATAGCCATTTATAATTTTCTACATTAAAGGTCGCGCTATAGCGACTTTTAAACTTAGAAACATTATCGCTTAAAGAACGCCAAGTTCTAAGCGGAATAGTTTAAGTCGGATGGAATTTTATGACCAATAAGTACACAACATAGCCATTTATAAATTTCTACATTTAAGGTCGCGCTATTGCGACTTTTAACATAGAAACATTATCGCTTAAAGAACGTAAAGTTCTAAGCGGAATAGTTTAAGTCGGAATGAATTTTATGACCAATAAGTACACAGCAGAGCCATTTATTAAATTTCTACATTTAAGGTCGCGCTATATATAGCGACTTTTAAACTTAGAAACAGTATCGCTTAAAAAACGCCATGTTCTAAGCGGAATAGTTTAAGTCGGAACCATTTTTTTATGACCCATAAGTACACAACAGAGCCATTTATTAAATTTTTACCACTATTTTTATTTTTTAAAAAAAAACAACATCCAAAACGACATAAAAAAATGAAATTAAAAAAAATAAGATTAAATAAAAAAAACGACAAAATAATATAAAAAAAATTCTCGAGTGTTCTCCCAGAACGATATTAATTAGTCAATGTATAATCCAATATTTCACGCGTTAGTATTTACCAATTTACACGATACAGGAAATTAATTAAAAATCTACAACTAACTCGTAACCGGACATACTAATAGACTGAAACATAGATAATTTATTATTTACGAACAAACAGTCGTAGAAATTATCATAAAATGTTTCGTCTACTTACCTTTACCAGTTTCTCGAGATCTTCTAACAGGACATTAGCGTCCTGTACGGCTTTTTTTGCCGCTTCTATCTTTCGTTTCTAAAAGGAAAAAAAACTTTCTATATATTTTTAGGAAATTATGTGTTAAAATTTGCGGCGTAATTATGTTATAATAACCGTTGTTTATTATATACATATTTAGGTCGCATTGTTACCGTTATTATTATATTATTATTATTATTATTACTTTGCTTTAGCTCGTGCGAGATTTTTTATTAAAGGTCGATAAACACTTACCAAGGCATTGTCACTCCAGGGGATGGTCCAGTGAAAATAATATAAAATTCAAGTTTTAGTAGAATCAAACAAATATTTATCCGATTTACGGGATTAATAAAAGTATCTGAAAATCGAAGGAAAACGAATGTTACGCTTTTTATTATTATTATCATTATTATTATTATTATTATTATTATTATTATAAGTTTGAATACAATGAATAAATAAAAATAATAAAATAGATACATAAGGGTGCCTAGTGGATAAGATGTTTGCCTCTCGTTACAGGGATCGTGGGTTCGAACCCTACCAGGGTCACGAGCATGTTTTCTTAAAATTAAATACGCAGCAAGATTTTTTTTTACAATCGAGCTAAAACAAATAATGTTTAAACTAAAATAAATGCGTTATTATAACTGATAACGTACTAATACTTGACAAATAGTAACTAATTTTGAATACTTACTTTTATCTCTTCGTCGAAAGATCTTTTCTGAAAGAAAGAAAAAAAAGTACTTATAGGCTGAATTATGCGAGTTATAAATTTACGAGCTATTCAGCTAGTCGATAAATTACTTAATTACGAGAGATATCGGGCACGCTCGAATCATAACCCACGCTTGAGTCACAACCCACGGGCTATTTGTTGATATATGATTATAAGTTTTATAGACAATAACAATGATTCGTAGTTAGTGACGCTTTCGTAAAAATACGCTAAATATTAATGATGCGTTATTTTGAATAATCCAATCGCGGGTTTGGAGAAAAGACTTTTAAATAAAATAAACCAATGAATGCTCTTTTATATAGCGTAATTTATCGCATTCGGGTATAAATACGATAAATATGAATTTTGAAAATAACGTTTAAAGTTTTACCAGCACAACTCCTTATATACTGTTATCGCAAGAGCCATATGTAGTCGAATTATATAGCATCGCAAGATATAATACAACAATTTTGTTTATATACAGTGAAGGTTATTTAATTATATATTACATCTTTACAACCTTGTAGCAAATAATTATAAATGTCGGAAAACCCTGTGAGGGAACCGTATTTTTTATATATATTTTATTTTACTGAAAGCTAGCTGGCAAGTAACATTTATTAAGTATTTTTGACATTTAAACAACTTTGGTAGAGGACCTATAGATGATATTATATATCAAACATCAAAGCTCTATGTCTTGAATCTTCAGATAAAATGTTGTTTTTTTTCACTATACGAGGGGTGTCCCAGAATTACGTGGACTTTTGCTGTAACTCAAAAACTACTGAAAATAAAAACAAACAAAATTAACATGAACAATATGCAACTTTATTGCATAAGTACAAAAAATTTCAAAGTTGTCCGGCAACTGGATCAGTGTCTGTGGGCAGGGTAATGAGACAAGGGGTAGCGGGTGCGGGGCAGTCCATTCCGACGTTACGACGTCATTCCGGTGGCGTCGCTAGTTTTTTAATAAATGCGTGGCGTCGAATGTCAGTTTTTCTCACCATAAGTCGCCGCCTAACTCAATACACCTATGGTGTCGATATATCCACTGGTCGTACACCGCCACTGTACCACTCCTGGTCGAAATCAGTCACCAATTTCTGCGTTGCGAACGAGAGAGTTCCTGGAAAGTCGAACTTTCCGTCCCTTGAGTGCCGACTTCTCGCCCGTAACACCTGACAAATAGACTTAAACTTGGAAACTTAATCAAATAAACTTGGACAATTTATCTACTAAGTAAGCGATATTGTACATATACTTAATCCGCAAATAATAATAATAATAATAACAATAATAATAATAAAGCATACTATTAACTTTTGTTACGATAAATAGTGTAAAAAGACGACGGTGATAATGCTGACGCCGTATTATTA